AGCTGTGTGAGCGTGCGTGCGTGTGTGAAACCGACATGATGACATCCACAGTAGTGCCCGCCTTCCCGTGCCTGTTCAAATAGCATTCCCTAAATCTATCGCCATCGAAAAACCAGGATCCACACCACCTCCGCCGCCCCCCCTCTCAGGGAAAGAGGGAGAGAGAGAAATCACTTTATTTTCCCACCTCTTTCCTTCTAAACGCCAAGGGAAAAATAGAAGACGGGGCAAACCCAAGTAACTCGGCTAGCATAAAACGCTTCTCCTCTGAAGAGTCGCATTCGCCCCCGAGCATGGCGGAGGCTTGGGATCAGTGCCGCCGAGGGTCCGTGAGCCATCCTTCCGGGGCCATTTAACACTGTCCCCCCTCCCCGCCCCGCCAGCCAGGGCAGCGGCTGCGAACTCTCGCTTTTTGCACTTGTCAGATGCGGACGGGACTTTGGCCGGCTGGGATCGAGACACCCGAGGCAATCCGATCGGCGGAGAGTTCCTCTTAAGGCAGCCGGCAGGCGGGTCCCCCGGGAGGGAGAGGATGCAGCCCCACCTGGCGCTGATGTGCGTGGTTGTGCTCGGGGGAGCTCTGCCGGCGTCGGCTCGGCCCGAGCCCAGGAGGCGGGAGCAAATGGACCCAAGGCGATGTGAGCTGCCCCGATCGGTGAGCTGGGCGAGGGAGGGGGGAGAGGAGAGAGGAGAGGCGCACGCGGTGGAGGAGGTGCGGGTGGCGGCGATTCCAAGTAAAAAGAGCCTGGGCAGCGCCACGTGCGGAATGCTGGCGGGGAAATCTCCTGGGGTGATCCCCAAGGAGAACGGTCTGCCGCCGAGCCCCTCGACAGCCCAGACGCTTCCTTCCCCGAGTTTCCCCGGACCCTGAAAACCTGGGCTTGCGGTTGGGCCCTTAAGGTCTGGGTGGCGGTCCTGGCCGCGCTGGCGTCTCCGGCATCCCGTCTCAGGTGGACCAGGGGCTGGGCTGTCTGGGGAGCGCTGTCCGTTGGCCAGACAAGCAGGCTGGAAAGGGTAATCGTAGGTCGCCAACTGGCTAGGAAGACGGACATTGCTCCTGGACAGCAACAAGCACCCTGGGCTGATTGACCGGTAAACGGTAGCGATCCTGTAGTCAAATCGCGGTCTTTTACGACCAGATGGGCTAACTAGCTCTGCGTGCCCAACTTTGGAGCCCGTTTTGAAAACGAAAAGCGAAAAGTTTTTAAAAAGTTTAGTATTGTAGTTAATAGGGTAGGCGATACCTACACAGGCCGCTCCTCTTCCTCAGCAAAAGCGGGCCTAATAACTCTTAGGGTTATGTGGGTCAACTTTCCATGCTGGTAATTTCTTTTCATTTAAACAGGGTTTTCACAGGGTGATGTACAGTTTAAAGTAAAACAAATATGGCCTAATTTACAGCATCATGCCACCTATTCACTGGTCTAAAGCTTGAGATAAGTGATTGTGCCAAGCCAGGACCTGTCTCAGACCTCACTCAGCTATGTCCTTCAGTGGAAGCTTTGGGCCACCTGTACTGTAATCTCCCAGCCTAACCTACCTCAGAGTTATTGTTAGGCTAGGCTAGAGAAGTAGACAACCATGTATGGTGTTTTGAGATTCTGAAGCAGTGTGTCTCAACCCTGGCAACTTTAAGATACGTGGACTTCACCCCCCAGAGTCCCCCAGCCAGCATGGCTGGCGGGGGAATTCTGGGAGTTGAAGT